CTCAACTCGCCGAGACGCCCTGCCTCAGTGTTCAGCATCCTCGAGTTGCGCGCGGATCGTTCCCCCAGTGCGATCGTCTCAACTCGCTGAGACGCACTGCGACAGCGTTCCCTGTATCAGGTTGCGCGTGGATCGTTCCCCCAGTGCTGTGCAGTTCGAGCGTGTTGCTGCGCTCCCACATTGCCTGGGTGTGTGTCTGTGTGTGGTGTGGTGGTGTGGAAGTCTGGATACTGTTCATGGTACTGCCATCACAGTGAATAGTGAGGGTAAATAGCAACGAGAGGTTTTATAGCTGTAGTCGACGAGCGAGAGAGAGTCCACTTCCACCGCTGCCGCCTTGCCGTCGTCTGCTTACGTCTTTCATCGTCTGTGATCGCCGTATTCGGACGTGTGGCACCGTGTGCAGAGTTTTCTGATTCGTCGTGACGTGGGTTTCGCGCGGTGCGGCTGCTGTGAACCCAGGAGGAGCGCGGCCGTCGCCGCGGCAACCGAACGAGGAAGTCTGCGTTGGTTCGGACGTAACACCCGGTCGCGCGATAACCCGCGATCGGACGCTCTCTGTCAGAGACATCAAGACTTAAGAGAGAAGGACTTCGGGGAGAAGGAGAAACTGCCGCGTGGGTGCAGGCGTCGCACGCGTGATGTGCGGGTGACCTCAAATGACATTGAGTGACCTCGAATGACCTTGAATGACCTTAAATTACAGGAAACTAGTCCCATCGAAGAAACACGAGTCGAGGAGAAACACGAGTAAAGCATTGTGGAGAGGAAACGTCGGCTGTTGACGATTTTAACGACAGATGGCCGAATTTGGTGTTGCAGCTCAGAATCAGTCGAAGACGATGCAGCGTAGTGAGGTCAGACAGAATTCCGGGTCCGGGATCAGAGACTGGGACAACGACTCGCTGACGAGCGACAACACCGAGCGCGACGTGGTGAGTGGCGCCACCTGTAGTGTTAACCTCGAACCCTGCGCGAGATTGCGCGTACACCGTCGATGTGAATCGTGAACTGTGGTTGCAGGTTCTGTGAGCTGTGAGTATATAAGTTCTGTGAGTGTAAATTACTGGTAGGTACTTGTGGGTTAGAGTGCCGGTGGGTGTGAAATGAAATTAGGGTTTGGATTTTAATTTAGGATTTCATTCTGGCATGTTTGTGCGTGTCTGCGTGTGCGCGCGTGCATACGTGCGTGTGTGGGCGTGCGTGCATGCGCACGTGTGTAGGTGTGTGTGTGTGTGTGTGCGTGCGTGCGTGCGTGCGTACGTGCGTGTGCGCGCGTGCGTGCGTGTGTAGGGTGTGTCTTGCGTGTTTGTCACAAACATTCACATGGGAATGTGTTGTTTACTGTAGTGTAGCAATTTTAGTAAGCTTTCTTATGCGTCAGAAGTGAAGGGGTTGCAGTACAGGACCTGGTGTAATGTAGAGTCAGTGTTATTAGCTATTCGTAGAATCATGTGTGAAACCGAGATAGTTGCGAGAAGTGTAAAATATGGCACTGGTGTTTACACAGACTCATATCCCATGCAGATAAAACTGTCATGCATTTATATCAGTTCAGTTTTCCTAGCTTAGTGTCTGAACAAATAATCGTAGCACAAGTTCCTGTTCTGTTAATTTTGTAAGGCGTGGGTTTTTTAATGTGTTTTTTATTTACATTACTGTATTCTGGGGCATAATATCCAGTTCAAGCATGGTAAAGTTTCATTTTAATTGATACATGTGTTCACGTGTTTGTGCATAAAAAGCTAGTAAGACATGTTTTTTAATGCATTTTTTATTTACATTACTGTCAAACTTCTCAGCATCCTACCAAATTAGGCATGGTAAAGTTTCATCCTAATTGATACATATTTTGATATACATATATGTGTTCACGTGTTTGTTAGCCCACAAAATAAATTCTATAGACATTTAATTGTCTTCACACCGACCGTTTTAAGTCGCGTTGAACGACGGTGATAAGTCTTCTCTTGAAACATAACGAAACATAGAGGAACCTGAGAGAGATAGACCGTCATTCCAATGTCATCGTTGAGATTATGACGTGATGACATCATCAGTATTTCTCTGCGAGTAATCGTTGGCAATTCAGACGACTACGTGTTTATTATTGTATTTATTTATTGGCGTTTTTTTATGTTTTATTATTTGTTATGAAGATCATGTTGAACCACTGCTTCGATGACATTGAGAGGTTCATCGCAAAGCTGCAGCAGGCTAGCGCAGCATACAGGGAGCTGGAACGAAGGCGTAGGACACGGAAAAGCAAGAAGAAAGGACAGGGAGGTAAGATATCGCTTGCATACGTCAATGTTGCGTCCTATTTAAAGTTGTTAGCAAGTCACTGAAAAGCGAGAAAAGGGACAGGGAGGTGAGATATCGCTTTCATACGTCAATGTTGCGTCCTATTTAAAGTTGTTAGCAAGTCAACGAAGAGCGAGAAAGCGGACAGGGAGGTAAGAAAAATACAGTGAAGTCAACGAAGAGTGAGAAAGCGGAC